CATAGTTTTAAGTGATATATACGGTTAAATAGATTTATATATAATTAGGTAGAGTTATTGAATATATATAGTAATATAGTGTTATATACGGTATTATAGACTTATATATAGTTATGTAGAGTTATTGATTATATAAAGTTATATAGTGATATATACGGTTATATAGATTTATATATAGTTTAGTAGAGTTATTGATTGTATGTAGTTATTTAGTGATATATACGGTTATATAGATTTATATATAGTTATGTAGAGTTATTGTTTATATATAGTTATATAGTGATATATACGGCTATATAGATTTATATATAATTTGTGACGATCCCCAAACTTATGCGCTTAGCGCTTAATAGTTTAGAGCCACTGAGGCGATTAGATAAACCAGTTCAGTTTAGTGGTAGTTAGAAGGTTATATTGATTTATATATAGTTATGTAGAGTTATTAATTATATATAGTTATATAGTGTTATATACGGTTATATATATATATATATATATATATATATATATATATATATATATAGTTATGTAGATTTATGATTATTTATAGTTATATAGTGTTATATACGGCTATATAGATTTATATATAGTTATGTAGAAATATTGGATATATATCGTATAAATGGTGTTATATACGGTTATATAGATTTATATATATTTATATAGATTGATTTACATATAGTTATATAGTTATATAGTGATATGTACTGTTATATTGATTTATATATAGTTATATATTGATTATATTTAGTTATATAGTGTTATATACTGTTATATAGATTTATATATAGTTATGTAGAATTAATTGATTATATAAATTTATATAGTGTTATATACTGTTGTATAGATTTAATTATAGTTATGTATAGTGTTATATACGGTTGTATAAACTTACATATAGTTATGTAAAGATATTGATTATATATAGTTATATATTTACGGTTATATAGATTTATATATAGTTCCGTAGAGTTATTAATTATATACAGTGTTATATACGGTTATATAGATTTATATATAGTTATGTAGAGTTATTAAATATATATAGTCATATAGTGTATGATTTATATATAGTTATAAAGTGTTATTGATTATACATAGTTTTATAGTGATATATACGGTTAAATAGATTTATATATAATTAGGTAGAGTTATTGAATATGTATAGTAATATAGTGTTATATACGATTATATAGTTTTATATATAGTTATTGATTATATATAGCTACATAGTGTTATATACGGTTATATAGATTTTTATATAGTTATGTAGAGTTATTGAATATTTATTGTCATATAGTGTTTTATAGATTTATATATAGTTATA